GCTGTAAAACCTTGATAGAGCATTGGTGAAATAGGCATTGTCGTGCCCATGTGAATTTCCTTTATTTTTCGGCTTCAGGCTATTCTCACTTAAAACGTAGTTTTTTGTTTTTTATTAGAGACAGAATAATAATTGTAAGACCATTATACAATAGGACATCAACGGCAGTGAAAATATGTTTGAATTACCACTACTTCAAACATATTATAGCCATTATAGCTCTATCGACCCAGAGCATATCGGATTTTCTGCCGGAATCACTGGACCTTAGCGCCGGATCATCGCAACCAGCTAGCTGCAACCAAATGGCTGTTGTCGTTGGCTAATTACCATTGACCCTTAGCAAGCACCAGTTAGCCTTGAGCTAGCCTCGAGCCAGGCCCATCTCCCGGCTATCTACCTCTCTGTCAACCGGACGGGACCTCCTAGTGTTGACACGGAGCCCCGCCAATCCAACACGACTGGTTTGCTGACGAAATCGTCTGATGTGGTTTCAACAGGCTTCCCGTTACGACGTCGACCACGAAGATCAATCTGCTAGCCCCGGCCCGCTAGCACACGCAAGCCGGGCCTCTTGCTCGCCAGTGCTGTAGCAGCCCCCAAACTACCTCCGAACTCTCCTATTGCTGTTCAACGGTCCTTATGATAACTCAGCTATTCAGCTGATGCCTGCTGGACTGTTCCTTTATACGGTACCGCATTGTGTTTATGTTTAGCCTCAGCCCAAACTTTGTCGCCATTACCAGCTGTTGTCTTAGCTCTCTCGAATAACACCTGTGATTGCTTTAAGCCTTTCTCCCATGTCAATATGTCTTGCTTATTGCTGTTTTGGTTATTTCTTATTGCACTATTTCAATGTAGAGCCCACAGCCCAGCTCAACCTGCCTTAGACAGCTCCTTTGTCCCACCCCCCATACACGCTGTCACGCTCGTTTATAGACGGGACGGACCAAGGCGCAGCGTGATATACATACATGTTTATTTATATAGAATAAACACCACGACAAAACAACAAACGAAACGTGAAGTCCAAGGTAGACAAATAACATACCTCACACGGAACAAGATCCCACAACTAACTAGTGCCAAAAGGCTGCCTAAGTATGGTCCCCAATCAGAGACAACGAGTGACAGCTGCCCCTGATTGGGAACCACACAGGCCAACATAGAAATAGACATACTTGAACATATCACCATAGAAATATACAACATAGAATATACACACCCTGACTCAACAAATAAACGTCCCCTGAGTCAGGGCGTGACACACGCGGAGACCGACTCAATCGGTGCCTCCAGTGATGTGATCTCTTTCATCGTTACCCAACGCTTAGGTTTACCTCCACTGTACTCATATCCTTCCATATCCTTGTCTGTACATAATGCCCTGAATCTATTCTACAATGCCCGGAAATCTGCCCCCTTTTTTTCTCTGTACCCAATGCACTAGAAGACCAGTTCTTAAAGCCTTTAGCCGTATTCCTTATTCTACTCCTCCTCTGTTCCTCTGGTGATGTAGAGGTTAACCCAGGCCCTGTAGCCCCCAGTATCACTCCTACTCCCCAGGCGTTATCATTTGTTGACTTCTGTAACCGTAAAAGCCTTGGTTTCTTGCACGTTAACATCAGAAGCCTCCTCCCTAAGTTTGAGTTATTCACTGCGTTAGCACACTCCGCCAACCCTGATGTTCTAGCAGTGTCTGAATCCTGCTTAGGAAGGCCACCAAAAATTCAGAAATATCCATCCCCAACTACAACATTTTCCGTCTCGATAGAACTGCCAAAGGTGGTGGAGTTGCAATCTACGTTAGAGATAGCCTGCAGAGCTCTATCATACTATTCAGGTCTGTGCCCAAACAGTTTGAGCTTGTACTTCTAAAAATCCACCTTTCCAGAAATAAGTCTCTCACTGTTGCTGCTTGCTACAGACCCCCCTCAGCCCGAGCTGTGCCCTGGACACCATATGTGAACTGATTGCCCCCTATCTATCCTCAGAGTTCGTACTGCTTGGTGACCTAAACTGGGATATGCTTAACACCCCGACCAACCTACAATCTAAACTAGATGCCCTCAATCTCACACAAATTATCAACGAACCTACCAGGTCCAACCCAAAATCTGTAAACATGGGCACCCTCATAGATATCATCCTGACAAATGTACCCTCTAAATACATCTCCGTTGTCTTCAACCAGGATCTCAGCAATCACTGCCTTATTGCCTGCGTCCGTAATGGTTCCGCGGTCAAACGACCACCCCTCATCACTGTAAAACGCTCCCTAAAACACTTTAGCGAGCAGGCCTTTCTAATTGACCTGGCCCGGGTATCCTGAATGGATATTGACCTCATTCCGTCAGTAGAGGATGCTTGGTTGTTCTTTAAAAGTGCTTTCCTTTCAATCTTAAATAAGCATGCCCCATTCAAAAAATGCAGAACTAAGAACAGATATAGCCCCTGGTTCTCCTCAGACTTGACTGCCCTTGACCAGCACAAAAACATCCTGTGGCGTACTGCATTAGCATCGAACAACTCCCGCGATATGCAACTTTTCAGGGAAGTCAGGAACCAATATACACAATCAGTTAGGAAAGCAAAGGCTAGCTTTTTCAAACAGAAATTTGCATCCTGTAGCACTAACTCCAAAAAGTTTTGGGACACTGTAAAGTCCATGGAGAATAAGAGCACCTCCTCCCAACTGCCCACTGCACTGAGGCTAGGATACACTGTCACCACCGATTAATCTACAATAATCAAGAATTTCAACAAGCATTTTGCTACGGCTGGCCATGCTTTCCACCTGGCTACCACTACCCCGGCCACCAGCTCTGCACCCTCCGCTGCAAGTTGCCCATGCCCCCACCCCCGCTTCTCCTTTACACAAATTCAGACAGCTGATGTTCTGAAAGAGATGAAAAATCTGGACCCCTACAAATCAGCTGGGCTAGACAATCTGGACCCTTTCTTTCTAAAATTAGCCGCCGAAATTGTCGCAACCCCTTTTACTAGCCTGTTCAACCTATCTTTCGTAACGTCTGAGATCCCCAGAGATTGGAAAGCTGCCGCGGTCATCCCCCTCTTCAAAGGGGGTGACACTCTAGATCCAAAATGTTACAGACTTATATCCATCCTGCCCTGCCTTTCGAAAGTTTTTGAAAGCCAAGTTAACAAACAGATCACCGACAATTTCGTATCCCACCGTACCTTCTCCGCTATGCAATCCAGTTTCCGAGCTGGTCATGGGTGCACCTCAGCCACGCTCAAGGTCCTAAACGATATTATAACCGCGATCGATAAAAGACAGTACTGCGCAGCCGTCTTCATTGACCTGGCCAAGGCTTTTGACTCTGTCAACCACCGCATTCTTATTGGCAGACTATATAGCCTTGGTTTCTCAAATGACTGCCTCGCCTGGTTCACCAACTACTTTTCAGATAGAGTTCAATGTGTCAAATCGGAGGGCCTGTTGTCTGGAACTCTGGCAGTCTCTATGGGGGTGCCACATGGTTCAATTCTCGGGCCGACTCTATTCTCTGTGTATATCAATGATGTCGCTCTTGCTGCTGGTGACGCTCGGATCCACCTCTATGCGGACGACACTATTTTGTATACATCTGGCCCTTCATTGGACACTGTGTTAACAAACCTCCAAACGAGCTTCAACGCCATACAACACTCCTTCCGTAGCCTCCAACTGCTCTTAAACACTAGTAAAACTAAATGCATGCTCTTCAACCGAACGCTGCTTGCACCTGCCCACCCGACTAGAATCACTACTCTCGGCGGGTCTGACCTAGAGTATGTGGACAACTACAAATACCTAGGTGTCTGGTTAGACTGTAAACTCTCCTTCCAGACTCACATTTAGCATCTACAATCAAAAGTTAGATCTAGAATCATCTTTCTATTTCGCAACAAAGCCTCCTTCACTCATGCTGCCAAACATGCCCTCGTAAAACGTACTATCCTACCGATCCTTGACTTCGGCGATGTCATTCACAAAATAGCCTCCAACACTCTACTCAGCAAATTGGATGTAGTCTATCACAGTGCCATCCGTTTTGTCACCAAAGCCCCATATACTACCCACCATTGTGACCTGTACGCTCTTGTTGGCTGGCCCTCACTACATAATCGTCGCCAAACCCACTGGCTCCAGGTCATCTATAAATCACTGCTAGGCAAATCCCTGTTTTATCTTAGCTCACTGGTCACCATAGCAACACCCACCCGTAGTCTGCGCTCCAGCAGGTATATCTCACTGGTCATCCCCAAAGCCAACACCTCCTTTGGCCGCCATTCCTTCCAGTTCTCTGCTGCCAATGACTGGAACGAACTGCAAGCTGGAGACTCTTATCTCCCTCACTAACTTTAAGTGTCAGTTGTCAGAGCAGCTTACCGATCACTGCACCTGCACACAGCCATTCTGAAATTAGCCCATCCAACTACCTCATCCCCATATTGTTATTTATTTTGCTCATTTGCACCCCAGTATCTCTATTTGCACATCATCTTTTGCACATCTATCATTCCAGTGTTAATACGAAATTGTAACTATTTTGCACTATGGCCTATTTATTGCCTTACCTCCATAATGTACTACATTCGCATACACTGTATATATATTTTCTGTGGTATTTCTGACTTTATGTTTTGTTTACCCCATATGTAACTCTGTGTTGTTGTTTTTATCGCACTGCTTTGCTTTATCTTGGCCAGGTCGCAGTTGTAAATTAGAACTTGGCTTACCTGGTTAAATAAAGGTAAAAAAAAATAAAAAATAAATAAAACATATGACAAGAAATTGCTCTTCATAGCAACAAACACCCTAGCAACACCCCAGCAGGCAAAACTGGACGAAATGATGTCATTACAACCAGATTACAACGAGTTCCGTTTTTAAAAGGGTTTGTAATGACGCTATTTCAACCAGCTATACTCAGTGGAACTTTAACAACATTCCATCATAATGTGAAGTAAGACTGAATCGTGTGGGCATACTTGGCATCGCAGGCCATGGGGGTGAAGTCCAGCTTGTGTTTGGTCCTGAAGATCATGTTCTTGGTCCTGATTTCCAGGATGGATGGGGGCTGGAGGGGGGTAGCGATGGCAAACAGGGCCAGCTGGGGGGGCATGTTGCAGCCATCATCCAGCCGGTAGTTCTGGCCATGCAGGAACTTCAGACGACCCTGGAGGGTCAGAGCCTGGGGAGAAAAAACAGAGAGCTGGTTGGTATGGCAGGAACCTTCAGGTCCAGGCTTCCTCATATTTGTTTGGAAACCAATAGCTGAGTAATGAACGAGATTTGGGGGGATAGCAACGTGAGACTACAGTAGTACTAACAGTAAATACTAAAAGTATACTATTATATACACTATTAAAATAATGAAATAAAATAGTAGTATTTAAATAGTACTAGTATTTGCTTTGTTTCAAATGTGCACTAGATTGAACTTGTCTGACACCAATGGGATAGTTTCAAAAGTGCAAAGTGCAAACCCTGCCCATCTGACACCATAGACAGAGGAAATCGAAAGGCTGAAAGTATTTGAAAGAAAATAGATCCTAATTGAACCCAGGTCTGGTGTAGAGCGGTGCAGCTACTGTAAGACATGGATGTACTGTGCAGTATATAGGCCTGTCGTCCCATTGATGGCCTTTAAGATGTGCCGAGATTTGTTGCATCCCGGAGGGAGACACACTGATGGACTTTCCATCCCTTAAGTCACTGTCTCGCTTCCACTATTCCCTCCCTCCCTCCCCTCTTTCTCTCTCTCCCCCCTCCACCAGTTTGTCCCTCTGATCGTGGAGCTGTGCTGTGGGTTGGTGGAGAACATGGGTATGGAGTACACAATCGTCTACAGGGTGCCGGGCAACAACACCCTCGTGTCCAACCTCCAGGACAAGGGCCTGGAGATCAACGTTACCGAGGAGTTGTGTGTGTATCAGTGTGTTTGAAATTATATTACAGCCAGTCTTCAGTTTCAAAATGCTCAGCTATCTTGTCTGCGCACAAGACAACTAATGATCTGAGCGCGTCACGGGAGGGATCTGACCCTGTGTCTACCACAGAAGAAACCAACGTCTTAACCATTAGACCAAGAGGAAACACCCTTTTGGGCCATTGGCCGACACGACACTGATTTTGAAGTCTCAGGCAGGTCTTCCCCATCACGAGACCATGAGCAACCATGAGCCCGACTCATGTCAGCTACACACAAACACAGTAAAAAGAAGTAAAACAAAGGAAACTTTAATATTTTTCCAGACCTAAAATTACCCTTGTTTCTTTCAAGGTCTAGCTTATCTTATGACTTGGCAGAGTCAATCATGAATTCATTTTTGGAAAAAGTACTTATTTATTGAAGTCCATATGCAGCCGTTTTTTAATCTCAACATCAAATAATTTCTGGGTAACAATTAAGTGCCTTACTGTAATAGTTTTCCATTAAAATGGTAGAAAAGTATAAAAAATAGCTAAAAATAAAAAAATTAAAAATCATCTCAAGCAAAAGCAAAATAGCACTGTCTGGGAGTGGTCTGAGTGAGGGACCTAATTGGAGGGGCCTAGTGGGAACACAGGAAACAGAATTCTGACTGCTCTGGGGCTTTTCTGCTAAATATAATTTCATCTTAATTTCTTTCTTCTTCTGTGAAGGAAGTTTGAAGGACCCCGTCCCTCTCTTGGCTTCAAGCTCCAGTGTTTGGGACATATTTCTGCCTGGCTTTAGCCTGGTGAAGCTCCTGGACTTCAATATGGACTGCCGTGGGGAGCAGAGGATTATTGCGTACGCCATCGCCGGCTGCGAATGTTGAATTCCTGAAAGGAGGAAGATATGAGAAATGATTCACGAGCACAGCAAAGCTTGCTTCAGTCACGTTTGTAATGAATGAGAAGCTGGCTGTATGTTCCACATATAGGAATTCCTAGACATCAACAATCAAACTGCTTAGACCTCAATCGAGCTCACACTCAGATGAATGATGAGCATATTGATTGCTGCTACACTTTATGGTACTGTACTTATGTATTTCTTTAAGGCACATTTCATTCGATCACACATACTTGTACTTAGGCTTGCTCATGGCAGTGGCTGCATCTGCACTGGCAGGATGACGTGGGCGCTATCCGCTGAACGGGCATCATGCCAGGGCTGGAACTCAGCTGAGCCAGTTGGTTACTGAAATAGTAGGCAGCTGCATGGGTCTGAGTCTGAGGAATGTACACATTGGAGTAAAAGGTTATATGGAATTCGAAGTTAGCATTTCTCAATATAATGTTCATTACTCATGTCCAAGTTGAATATATGATTCTTGTTTGGATTTACCTGTGGAATGGGAGGCTGGTAGGAGTTGATGATGGGTTGGGCACTGCCATGACACTGCTTGTCCCTGTCTGCCAGGTATTGTTGGCGCTGTGCCTTGCTCTGAGCCAGGGCAACGTCAAGCAGCTTGGTGCCCACGATACGGCCATTAATCTCTGTCACAGCCTTGGTGGCCTCCTCGGGGGAGGAGCGGGAAACAAAGCCAAAGCCTCTCCGTCATCACCTTGGCGCTGATGATTGTTCCGAATGCAGAAAACTCCTTCCTTAAACGGTGATCATCAAAGGCATCATCCAGGTTCTTTACAAAGAGATTGATACCTCTGTATTTGGCCTTGGGGTCAGGCTTCCTCTGCCCAAACTTGAGTTTCAGCAACGTCTGGCGCTCTCCTTTCTTCTGGGCGCGGCCTACATATATCAGCCTCCTGTTTAGCTCCTTCCTGTTCATCTCGTTCACGGCTCTCTGTGCATCCTCATGCCTCTTGAAGCAAACAAAACCGAACCCACTCGACTTCCCACTATCGCTTCATAACCTTGACACTAACGGTTGGTCCATATTTTACAATAAGATCAATCAGTTTCTCATCGTTCATGCCTCTTGACAAACACGTTGTTGAACTCTCTGGCCTTGGCTCCAAGTTCCTCCTCTACGCTCTTTGCGTGACTTAAAGCGTTCGATAAACAGATGTCTCCAAATGCTGAGAATGTCTCGTATAGGTTTTTGTTTGTTATAGACTTCTTGTCCAGGTTCTTGATGAAGATGTTTCCCACCCCACTCTTCCTCAGGGTAGGGTCAGGATCAGACCTCATGATGCGCAGATATCTTCCTTCAAGCATATCATTGCTGAACATGAGCATGGCTGATAAAAGTTAACGTAGGCGTACCCGAGGGAACGATGTGTAACCCGATCCCTACATACACGGACAGAAAAGATTGGTCTGGCCTCACTAAACATCTCGTTTAGGTCTGGTTAGGACGTTTTGGTGGTCACCAACATACAAAGAATTCATTTAGGAGATTTTGGATCTAATTCACACGTATCGAAGCTTGCTCAAGAACACAGAATGACAGGTGAATGAACAGGTGTCATGTGCTTAAATTAACTTGTTTGTGATGTCATAAGTGATGTAGCGTCAAATGCAATTCTGATGTGCCATCTTTCCTTTATTGCATCATAATCATGTAGTTTACTGGATTTAGATAGCAAACAGAAACATTTCAATTTTAAACAAATAAATAAATGTACCTCAATCTTTATTTTTTAACAGTTTGGGAAGTCAGAGAGAGATAGACAGAGAGAGAGATATATATAAATGACTATTATACCTCAAACACAGGATATACATGGCATACGCTAAGCATGTTATCTTTATCGATGGATAAAAGTATGCCAAATAATAAAATACAAAATAGTAGTCTTATTCTCAAATCGGACAGAGAGAGAAACCACACACTCAGGTTAGAGGAAAAGCATTTGGTTCACAGTCGTTCCACCTTCAGTGAGAGGTTGAATGAACAATAACTCTGTAAAACTGAACAGTTAAAACATAGAGCTCTGTGTCAGTCAGGTTTGCTATATATCTGTTTGTATACTACAGTGGAATGTTATTCATTTGTATGCTATAAAGAGAGGTGAGGAGTGTAAAGAGACACTGAATCCTTCAAACAATCTCCCTTAGCCAACCACAACAGTCTAGACTAGAGAGAGACTAGGACTCTCTCTTCGCTCTCCCATTCAACTGCATGACATATTCCTCTGCTGCCTCTGTGACAATGAAAATGATATCACAAGTGCTCTCTTCTCCCTACTCCACTCAGAGTGCCTGTTTCGTTTCTCCCTGTCACACGCAATCAGCATTATTTACAACAGTCGCCTCTGGAAAGAAGAGAGAGAGACAAAGAGAGAGAGAGAGACAGAGAGAGCGAGAGAGACAGAATAAGAGAGAGAGAGAGAGAGAGAGAGAGAGAGACCAGTCTTAATGGCTGAGCCTGTCTTTGAGCCTGTCTCTCTGTCCCTGGCTAGGCTGGCTGGAGGCCTGGGGGCCCGTTGACCACACTGTAAACATACAAGATCCCCTGTCATCCCCAGCCATAACCCTGCAGGCCAAAACCCTGCTCATCAAATTGCTCATTAGAAAAGCCAGAGAAGCCTTTGCATGTGGCTTTCGGACTGATAAAACTTTCAGACCCTCCTCTGCCCCTGCCTGCCTGAGCCCCAGAGGGACGGTGTAGAACTACATTACATTACATTACATTAAACACACACACACGCACATACACACACACTACACTACAGTAGAACCATCCATCTATCTCCATCACGTAGATGCGTGGTACACCTTGATGACAAACAACAAAGAACAGCAGAGCACACAGGTCGCACGGTTCGCTGGGGGGGCAGAGAGGCTTATTTGCATTCATTGTAAGTAACCCACATGTGACGTGCACGACATGTCAGTGTCAGGCTCGCTCTGAGCTCTTTGTGTGACATGACAGGACAGGACAGGACGGATCGGAGAAGATACTTAGAGAGCTATGTTATGTTCTGTTCCTTCTCCGTGGCGTGTTTCCACGGTAACACATCAGTCCCTCTCCTGACAGTGATGAGTGTCATGGAGCTAATGAAAGGGAACTTCTTCTGACCCTGTTAAAACATCAGGACTTACTGAGAGTTGAGGTGCACGAGGTGCACTGGGACGGTATTTTAGAGTTCACGCCTGTCCTGTGGATTTCTGCTTAAACTGTAGATTAGGAACATTCTGTACCTTCAGGTTAGGAAGATGCTGGACCTTCTGTTTATGTAATGAAGGGCTGTAGTTGAATAGAATGCTACTAAAGCAGTACAAATGACCTAGTCTCTCATTTAAATGGCCAGCACGCAAGATTTGGTTCTGGTTGGGGAACATACCTTTTGTTTATATAATGAAGGACTGGACTTGCTACTACTAGGTTACAAATGATCATGGAACCAGAAACAAATATTGCATGCTCTTGTCAGCTAACAGTGTGTCACGAGAGACTACAGCACAGACGACCAGGATGAACTAGTGAAACTACTGTATGTGTGTCAATTCACTGGGACATGCAACTGTCAAACCAGCAAAAGCATAATTCTTTGAGCTTGATTTGTGTGACAGCTTGAATCTCCTACTGGAATATTGATGGGGTTGTGTCTTCTGCTCAAAGTCAGTCTCCAGTGCAATCTTTATTCAGATAACATCGCACATGAGTGAATGTCGAAGCAAGAAATTCTCACAGGAAGAAATAGATTTTTCCTGAGCCAAACGGTAGCCTTCTAAGATTTCATGGCCTACTAGTTGATGGATTCTAACAACAACAAAAACCGTGCAAGGACTTGTGTGTTTAAGATCTAGACAACAGGCATTATTATAATGAACAACGTGATGTTGAATATTGTCCAATATAAAAACAAGTAAGGAACAAAAGAACATTAACATTAATGCACATGCATCTCTTTTATTTTCTATTACAGTTGAATGCTAGAGGGTGAATGTAATTAGACTCCCCAGTACCTCAGTAGAATGAGGAAAAGCAAAATTATTCAATTAACTTGTTCATTATCCTTCTACTTCAGTCAGATAAAATACAACATGCTGTATGTAATAACCATCATATAATAGGAACATGATGTTTAGAATGGAATTGATGACCACAGATGAGACTTGGATTGCGTCCTAAATGGCACCCTATTCCCAATTTAGTACACTGATTTTGACAAGGGTTTATAGGGCAGTGGTCAAAAGTTGTGCACTATATAGGGAATAGGGTTGTCATTTGGGACGCAGCCTTGTACAAGGCTGAGGGGGCCTTGAGGGGAGAAGGAAGTCATTGAAGATTAGAGAACATGCAAGGAAGGGATAAAACACACCAAAGTACTGTAATGTAACCAAGTACTGTAATGTACTGTATGTCCTATGTAGTGATTACATTAACAATTCAAAGATGAGATAAAAATGGTACACTAAGTTTATGAGAACGGTAATTGGTGGAATTCATTTCTTTCTTCTTCTTGGTGAGTTTAAGTTGTGCCTCGTCCTCCTTCCTCCTTCTCCTCTTTCCCCTCCTCCTCTCCCTAACTCTCTCCACCTCCTCCTCTCCCTACCTCCCTCCGCCCTAACTCCTCTCCTACTACTCTCCCCTCCTCCTCCTCTCCTCCTCTCCCTCACTCTCTCCCCTCCTCCTCTCTCCCTCTCTCCCCCCTCCCTCCTCCCTAACCTCTCCCCACCTCTCCTCTCCCTAACTCTCCCCACCTCCTCCTCTCCCTAACTCTCCCCCACCTCCTCCTCTCCCTAACTCTCTCCACCACCTCCCACCTCCTCCCTCCTAACTCTCCACCTCCTCCTCTCCCTAACTCTCCCACCTCCTCCTCTCCCTAACTCTCCCCACCTCCTCCTCTCCCTAACTCTCCCCACCTCCTCCTCTCCCTAACTCTCCCACCTCCTCCTCTCCCTAACTCTCTCCACCTCCTCCTCTCCCTAACTCTCTCCCACCTCCTCCTCTCCCTAACTCTCCCCCCTCCTCCTCTCCCTAACTCTCCCCACCTCCTCCTCTCCCTAACTCTCTCCCACCTCCTCCTCTCCCTAACTCTCCCCACCTCCTCCTCTCCCTAACTCTCCCCACCTCCTCTCTCTTCCCCCTCCTCCTCCCAACTCTCCTCTCCCACCTCCTCCTCTCCCTAACTCTCTCCACCTCCTCCTCTCCCTAACTCTCTCCACCTCCTCCTCTCCTACCTCTCCCCACCCCCCTCTCTCCCTAACTCTCTCCCACCTCCCCTCCTCTCCCTAACTCTCCCACTCTCCCCACCTCCTCCTCTCCCTAACTCTCCCCCCCCTCCCACCCCCCCCTCCTCTCCCTAACTCTCTCCCCACCTCCTCCTCTCCCTAACTCTCCCCACCTCCTCCTCTCCCTAACTCTCCCCACCTCCTCCTCTCCCTAACTCTCCTCCACCTCCTCCTCTCCCTAACTCTCCCCCACCTCCTCCTCTCCCTAACTCTCCCCACCTCCTCCTCTCCCTAACTCTCCCCACATCCTCCTCTCCCTAACTCTCCCCATCTCCTCCTCTCCCTAACTCTCCCCACTGCCTCCTCTCCCTAACTCTCCCCACCTCCTCCTCTCCCTAACTCTCCCCACCTCCTCCTCTCCCTAACTCTCTCCACCCCTCCTCTCCTTTTTCCTATTTCTCCTCCTCCTCTCCTCTCGGCCCGTATCCTCTCGTGTGAGGCCAGTATGGTGCAGTGGGTCTCACGGCCCTCTCCTCCCATCTCCCCCTAGCACTTGATAATTTATTCTGCTGGACATAAGGCGAGTTGCAATGATGTCAAGAATCTACCCTCAAATAGCAATAGGATTACCAAAACAAAGCTATGGAAATTAGTCCGAGGCAGACCCTGGACTTACTGCTCACGCAAATGACCTCCACAGAGTTGGGAAGTACCCCGATCTTACTCTCCTCTTCCCCTCTCCTCCCATCCCCTGCCTCCAGCCTCCCGCTACTCTGCATGGTCACGCTCTGTACTGGTGAGATGGAGAGGCTAGGAGGAGTGGAGGAGAGGAGGGGGCGAGCGGGTCATGCCACGGTCTCCCCCCTTGTGCTCACCAGGCAGGAGGGCCCATTATGACACACGCACACCACCACCATGAGCCCTGCATGCCAGCTTTCAGCAAGCACAGGCAGATATCACTCTATGCTATACTGACTGCACATGGACTATACTGTAGGCCCTTACAGCAATACGTTTACTTGTATGTTACTGTGTTCTAACCCAGTCAATGTGCTCTGGCTCTGTCCTCTCTCTCTCTCTCCTCTCTCTCTCTCTCTCTCTCTCTCTCTCTCTCT